ACATTTGCCAAATTTATTTGACTCTCAAAGCTCTTTCATTTATTTTTACAAAGAGTATCTTACAAGACATCTCTGTGGAATTATCTTTGAGAAAACCTGACCAGATACTTGCTAAGGTCTCTTTCTGTTCTGACATCAAGTACGTAAGTTGCACATAAATCAGAAAGAGGTCAAGAAATTCATCCTTTATTCCTACAAATCATTGAGAACATCAATACTCCTTAAAATTCAGTGTGTGTCTCTGCCAACATATAAAATACCCTTTAGTGGTGTAATCCATGAGAAGGTGGGGTTCGTGTGTGTGTCACTGAGGAGTAAACACTCTATGGGATGACAAAGATACCAAGGGAACTCCTGGTCTCTAGAGGAAGGAACCTGAAACGTTTTCACACGGCCCCTTAAATACCTCTTAGGCTGAGAAGACCCACCCTACCTGGGTAACAGTTTTCCTCAGAGAGCTCGGGAGCAGTATATATCATATACTTGCATACCATTTGTGTGAATATGTGAGGCACCCACCATATGCAGGTAGACAGTTTACTGCTGCTTCCAATCTTCCCTGCATCTTCTTTGCCTTGATTGCGTTTAATGGATGAGGTTTCCACTTCCACGCTTTCCACAAACCAACTCATGCAGAGTTCTCTCTCCCAGTTCTCTGTTCATGAGAAGCAGCTCCCATGTCTCTAATTTTCTAACTCTTGTCTGCAAGTTCAGGTTCTACTACATGCCCAGCCTCTCCTGACATTACAAATAGTAACGCTCCCAATTTTCTCCAATTAAACTTTTTCTTTTAGAGGACGTTGTTCTGCTCACTTCCTTGAGCTGGAATGACTGCAATCTTGTGTTGCAGGAGAGGAGAAGCTGCCTCAGGTGACACAGAAGAGCCATGTGAGGTAAATTCTTCTGTGAAGAGGCTTCCTCTTCCTCCCCTGCCTTACGTTCTGATGCAAATACCTGGGCTGTCAGGCCTCAGAACTTCACTCACTCAGTTCTGTCTGCCTGGAATTTCCCTCCAATATTCACCTATTAACGTGACAATCCTACACTGAGACCTAGCACAATTGCCACTTCCTTTATGAAAACATCCCCATCCCCAGAGCTGTAAATAACCTCTCCCTGTTTTGCATTCCCATGTCATAGCTGAGTCGTCATTATGTCAATAACCTAAATGTGCAGAGAAACACCAAAAATTAGTGTAACAGGATATACTTATTGTGAAGAAATACGATTCCATTCAGGCAGTGTCAACCTGAATGTTTGGGAAGGCTCTAGAAGGGGGGACTGGGAAAGCGGGTTATATGGGCCATTGTTATGTTAATTTATCAGGAGATGGCATCAAAGCACAGTGCAGGGTTTCAGGGTCTAGAGGTTACAGAGTTGCCAAGGACATGCCATACATCCTAAAACACAGCCTCTAGTCAGACCCCGGATCCCTGAGGGCACAGTGGTTAGGAGCTCGACTGCTAACCAAAAGTTCAGCAGTTCAAATCCACCAGCTGCTCCTTGGAAACCCTATGGGGCAGTTCTACTCCGTCCTATAGCGTCACTATGAGTCGGAATCGAATAGACTCAATGGCAACAGTTGTTTTCAACAGTCAGACCCTGGAGTTCCTGCTTCTCAAAGCTGGCTGCACACAGATAATTTTCCAAAAGAACTCATTGCCTAAGGCAAAACAGTCTCTGCTAAACTGCTTACTAGGCTATTGTTTGACTTGAAGGTGACTTTAGGGAACCAGTTCCTTAAAGGCTCAAGGTTCAAAAGGACACTTAAGGGTAAATGGCCTGGGTGGGTCATTCCAATTCTATGACCCAGAAATCTGGATTCCAGGAGAATTAAAACAGTTTTGTCAGTTATAACCATTATATTTTTCCTTGTTTTATGTTTATCCCAGGTCTCTCCTGCTGTATCGTTAGCTCTCAGCACTATGGTTGCTATGGATTGAATTGTGTCCCCCGAAAATATATGCTGGAATCCTAATCCCTATACCTGTGGATGCAATTCCATTTGGGAATAGGGTTTTCTTTGTTATGTTAATGAGGCCATATTAGTGTAGGGTGTGTCCTAAACCTGTTTGCTCCTGAGTTGCCAGCAAACAAGGAAGCACAAACAGGAAGACAGATGCTACCTGATGATCACAGAAACGGATGCATCTACAAACCCAGGAACTCCAAGGATTGCCAGCTACTAGAAGCTGAAATAAAGACCTCCACTTAGAGCCACAGTCTGAATTTGGGCTTTTAGTTTCCAGAACCATAAGAAAATAAATTTCTATTCTTCAAAACTACCCACTTACAGTATTTCTATTACAGCTGCACCAAGAAACTAAGACAGTGGCTCACTCACCTAGCCCTGTGCCCAACACAGAATTGGTTGTTAAGTGAATGCGTGCCAGTTCGCTCCGTGCTGCTCTGAGTCCCCCTCTTCCCCAAGGACTTTGCCTTACCCTTCGGCACGCTTCTCTGACTCTGGTGTGTGTTGTAATCACAGGGGAGCATGTTCAAAATGCAGATACTACCAGAGAGAACAGAGACTTGAAGCAAATACAAAACAAATGCCCAGGATGGGAAAAGAAATGGTCATTCAAAACTCCAGGAAAAGCAAAAAACTGTACAAGAAAATAAATGTAATCACGGAACCCTCCTTGATTCTGCAATGACAATATTTATATAGTCAAAATAAATTACTGGCTTATTGATTTAAATAAAATAGCAACATAACCATGTCAGGATGATGGCAGAGGTGATGTGGGATGTGGCGGTGTAAGTTAAATCCTGTCCATTACAACAGGAAGTCAATAGCTAATGTCTGAGATGAAGATGTAGAAATGTCAGCACATTTTGTGGAAACATAGAGGCAAATACCAGAAGAAACAACAATGTGAAAAGTGGTTTTCCCTAAAGGGTGGGACTAGGTTATAGAGAGGGAAGAGAACGGGCAAGGGACTGCAGTTTTTTCTTATAAGCCTTTCAAAATGATTTGATCTTATATATCTATACATAGAGATATAAAACTTTGCTTAAAAAAAAAAAAAAGAATGCATATTTCTAGACCTTACTCCAGGCCTACTGAGTCAGAATCTCCAGGGCTGGACACCTGGAGTTTCTCTCCGATGCTTGATGACTGATGTGATGCGTATGTATAGCTGTGGAAGTAGAAGGAGGGAATCCTCAGATGGGGACTTGGAAAGGGAGTGGAAGTTCCAAAGCAAGTTACCTATGGGTCTGGTGACCACAGGGGCATTGGTGGTTTAGTGGTAGAATTCTTGCCTTCTATGCAGGAGACCTGGGTTCAATTCCTGGCCAAGGTACCTCATGCGTAGCCACCACCCGTCTGTCTGTGGAGGTTTGAGTGTTGCTATGATGCTGAACAGGTTTTAGCAGATCTTCCAGACTAAAATGGACTAGGAAGAAGGACCTGGTGATCTACTTCAGAAAATCAGCCAATGAAAACCCTATGGATCACAACTGTCCGATCCACAACCAATCATGGAGATAATGCCGTGTTTTTTCTTTTTGCTGAATCAGGGTCCAACTTGCCGGCAGCTAACAACAACAATATGGTGACCATATTTTCCATACCCAGACTCCGGGACTGTCTTGGGAACCCTCCAGGATGCAGGGTCATGAGACTGCTGAGTCTGTCTGTGAAGAGAGAGTGGACTTATAGGAGGATAGCACTCCCCAGAGAAGAGGGGCAGGGAAAGGCCCCTCCAGGAGCCTTAGCTCCAGGCACTGCTGCAGTGCTGACCTGGATACCAGAGGAGGTAAGGTAGGACACTGCCCCTCGGCGGCCACCACTGGGGCCGGGGTGGGGACGGGGTGCAGCATTCAGAGACTCCTTCTTGCTGCCTCTCACTTAGACATAAGCCTGAGGTCAGGAGGGAAATGGAGAGGTGGGGGAAGTCCTCTTCTTTCACCCTTGGGGGTCTTGCTTTCCCTGCAGGAAGGGGAAAGTGTGCTGGCCTTGAGCATGGGCGCTCAAGCCAGGCTGCCAGATGTTGAAAGGTGGAATTCCTCACTCTCAGTTCTGTGTGAGCTAAAAACACTCTTTTCTGAAATATGTGCTCCAAATACCAACCCTCCCTTCCCTCCTCTCTTTCATTTTCTTTCACTATTTGCCTTACCACCACCAAGCCCAACCCCACAGAAGCTGCAAATTTTGATAAATTGGGGCTGAATAATGCAAACGGTTAACGTGTTCTGCTGCTAACCAAAAGGCTGGAGGTTCGAGTCCACCCAGAGGCACCTTGGAAGAAAGGCCTGACCATCTACTTCAGAAAAATCAGCCTATGGAGCACAGTTCTATTCTGACACACACGAGGTCGCCATGAGTTGGAGTCAACTTGATGGAAACTGGTATAGAATGGTGGTAAGGGGAGTAGGCTTACCAGGGTTGTGACTTGAAGCTCTCTGAGCCTCGGTTTCCTCATTCTTGAGCTGAGGAAATAAGCTCTATTTGCAGGGTTGTTTTAGTGATTGCCTGAGCTAAGGGTCGAACTTGTTAAAGGTCATACTTATGCTTGTGGCAAGTGCTACATAAAGGTGGCTCCCTTCCCATCGATGATGATAAAAGTTTGTTTTCTAAGAGAATCTTCTGTCCCAAGACCCCCTAAAAATGCAAGAGAAATACCAGGTATACAGCTTAGAGCTGGGGAGGAGCCACCTTTGAATCTCCAAAGGTTGGGTAACAACAGTGAATGGTAATAGCTAGCATTTAATAAACACAAACACATATGATCAATGTGTCAGGCACTGTCTCAAGTACTTTGTGTGAATCCACTCATTTAATCTTCACAACAACCCCAGGAGGTGGGTATGACTATTGTTCCCATTTTATAGAGCAGAAAACTGAGGCTCAGGGAGGAGAAGGGACTTGCTTAAGGACACACAGTCCCTCCGTGGCAGAGCCGGGATTCAAACCCAGGCAGCCAGGCTCCAGAGTCCATGCCCCCAGCCATGTCCCTGCGCCCGTTACCTCTGAACCTGCAGGCCATGCTCACCTGCGCAGAACAAGCTCTCCACGCATGACTGCCAGAGCCACACGTGGAACCTGTACTGGACGAACTTGTCGTCTCCCACCTTCCAAATGTACTGGACAGCCTGGCTCTCGTCGTCCCTCCTGCCAGGCTGTAGTGAATGTAGTGGGGCCCATGTGGCTGGTTCTGCCTCAGGGGCTTGGCCACCCTCCGGGTCCCCTCACACCAGTGGCTGCTCTCCACGGCAGTGAGGAAGAAGCCAGGGCGAGGCAGACGGCAAGGAGGAGCAGCGCCCGCTGCCACCCAGCCCTGTCCATGGCTGAACGAGGTCTGGCGGTGAATGAACCCCGTTCCCCACCTCCACACGGACGCCCACTCCCCCTCCACCTGCAGTCTGGCTTCTTCATAGAGTCTCCCCTCACACCCTCCAGCCCCGGAATCCGAGCATACTCCAGCTCCAGGCGTCCAGGTGAGCACCTGTGGCCTGAGAAGGCGCACGCAGAGAGGCCCAGAGCCAGGACACCTTCCTGTCCTCCCAGGACCTAGATGTGGAGGAGGACCTAGGATGTTTTTGTTGTTGTTTGTATGTTTTGGAGTCCTTGTCAGTGCAAATGGTGATATGGATGGGCTGCTAACGGAAAGGTTGGTGGTTTGGAGTGCAGAGGTGCCTGAAAAGAAAAGGCTGGGATCTACTTCCGAAAAATCAGCCATTGAAAACCTTAGGGAGCAGAGTTCTATTCTGACACACATGGGGTCGCCATGAGTCAAAATTGACTCTACAGCTACTGGTGGTGATCATTGTTTGTTTTAATTTTATTGTGGTAAAATATAAAACATAAAATCTGCCATGTTAACCATTTTTAAGTGTACAATTCAGTGACATTAATTACATTCACCATGTTGTGCCACCATCACCGCTATTCCAAAAGATTTTCATCACCTCAAACAGAAATTGAGTGCCCCTTAACCAATAACTCCCCCTCTTCTCTTCCCCCAGCCCCAGGTAACCACTAATAAACTTTTGCCTCTGTGTATTTGTCTGTTCTGGATATTTTATATAAGTGGGATCATATAATATGTGGCCTTGTGTGACTGGCTTCTTTCATTCAGCATAGTATTTTCAAGGTTCATCCTTGTGTGGCTAGCTTCAGGTCTTCGTTTCTCTTTATGGCTGAATAATATTCCATGATATGGATGTGTCATATTTTGTTTATCTGTTCACCTGTTGATGGTCACTTGGGTTGTGAATAATGGTACAGCAAACATAGGTGTATGTATCTGTATGACTCCCTGCTGCAAGGCGTTGGTTTTTGAATGAAACCAGGAGAGGATGGGTGGGTGTCTGGGTGAGTCTGTCCCACACTCGTCTTTTGCACTGGGTAGGCCCTCAGTGTTGGTTCTAGAAACAGGGACTCCTGAGATTTGCGTATGATGTGTTCCCTGCCCAGTCCTATGAAAGGGACTGCAGAGGAGGGCTGCTTGTTCCAGGGACTCTGAGGTGATGCGAGGCACAGGCAGGGCTGCTTCAGGGCCTGTGTGCTGTGCGGAGTTGGAAGGGACAGCATGCCCCCCACTTTGGTGCAGAATTCAGCACTATCCAGGAAGCTCAAAAGCTGGCAGACAGAGCTCTTGGCACCATCACTGATGCCCTTGCCAAAGTGTTCGTGGCAGAAGTGATGATGCTGAGGATGCTTAAGGAGTTCAGAGCAAAGGATTGATGAAGGAGTGAGGGCAGGAGAAAGATAACAGAAGTTCCATGTGGCATCTGAAACAATCAGGTCCTTGGTTGTATGAAGACCCCCAGATGTAACCGAGAATACACTTGCATGGATAGGTAGGAGGAAGGGCAGTGAAATTTGGGTTAACATCACTTTATCGGTTCTTTCCTGATGGCAAAGCTTGATAAACTGTTTTATATGCTCGCAATAGCCTTACAAGTTGTGTGCATTTATGTTGTGCTTGGCTTTCCCACCTTGTGAGAAGAGAAGTTACCATGTTCTATCACTAGGTGGCGCCTATCCTATTGGTGGGGAAGTCCTGTGTGGACCCAACCCTCCTCCCTTCAGAAAAGGGAAAATTTTGAGATGAAGTTCAAAGACATCACATAGCGCATATTCTTACAAAGCAGGTATTTTCGTCACTTCAGCCTACTCTCTATAATCCCAAAGAGACCACCACCTCGATTCCAGAGGTCTCATCATCATAAGCGTCCATTTTGGGGGTCTTTGTTCAGATTTGGCATTTTACTGCTAAAGTTTAAAATCTTGCCACTGGGTTTTTTTTCTCCCCTAAATTTTACTTATTTTGTTGGTGTTGTTGAGGATATACACAGCAAAACATACACCAATCCAACATTTTCTACATGTACAATTCAGGGACATTGATTGCATTCTTTGAGTTAAGCAACCATTCTCACCCTCCTTTTTCTGAGTTGTTCCTGTCTCATTAACATAAGCTCACTGCCCGCTAAGGTTCCTATCTTATCTTTTGAGTTGCTATTGTCAATTTGATCCCATAGAGATAGTTCTTAAAGGAGCATAATGCTAAAGGCAGACCATTTTACTAGTTAAGCTAAACTATTGTTCGGTTTTAAGATGATTTCAGGAGATAGTTTTGGTTTAAGGTTTAAAGATTATCTCAGAGCAAGAGTTTCAGGGATTCATCCACCCTCCATGGCTCCAGAAAGTCTAGAGTCCACGAAAGTTTGAAATTTTGGTCTGTGTTTTCCCGCTTTTGATCAGGATCCTTCTATGGAATCTTAGACCAAAATATTCAGTAATGGTAGCCAGGCACCATCCAGTTCTTCTGGTCTCGTGGGAAAGGAAGCAGTTGTTCAGGAAGGCAATTAGCCACACATTCCATATCCTCCTCCTATTCCTGGCTCTCCTTCTTTCTCCGTTGATCCAGGCGAATAGTGACCAATTGTTGTGCTTTGGATGGTCACTTGCAAGCTTTTAAGACCCCAGGCACTATGCAACAAAACTAAGATGTGGAACAGAAGCACTAAGCATATTATTAGAACAATTAACTGGGAAGTTCCCAAGAAACAATGACCCTAAACCTCCAAACCAAGGAACAAAATCCCATGAGGTGTTTGGTTGTATGTAGGTAGCCTCAGCAACTACTCTCTCTCTCTCTCTTTTTTTGTCATTGTTGTAAATATGTCTATCACAGAACTTTTGTCAGTTGAACTTTTTACAGATGTACAACTTATTGACAGCAATTGTATAATCGACTGTGCAACCCTGCCCTTAATCAATGTGATATTTCCATCACCGTTAACTCTCCCATTCCTCCTCCCTCCTGCCCCTAGTAACCACTAGTAAACTTTGGTCTCTATACATTTGCCTTTTCCTGTCTTTTTATATAAGTGAGGTCATAACAATATTAGTCCTTTTGTGATTGGCTTATTTCACTCAGTATAATGTCTTCAAGCTCTATCCATACTGTAACATAGATCAAGACTTTATTTCTACTACTGGATGAGTAGTATTTCACTGTATGTATGTACCACAGTTTGTTTATCCATTCATCTGTTGATGGGCATTTAGATTGTTTCCACCTTTTGGCTGTTGTGAATACTGCTGCAGTGAACATTGGTGTACAAGTCTCTTTTTGAGGCTCTGCTTTCAAGTCTTTGGATATATACCTAGGAGTAGAATTGCTGGATCATACGATAGTTCTATTTTCAGTTTTATGAGGAACCACCACACTCTTTTCCACAATGGCTGTACCATTTTCATTCCTACCAGCAATGGATAAGGGTTCCAGTTTGCCCACATCCTGGCCAACATTTTCTATTTTCTTTTTTTTTTTTAAAAAAACTTAGCCATCCTACCCATTGCTGTCGAGTTGATTCCGACTCACAGCCATCCTAAAAAAGACAAACAAAAACCAAACCAAACCCGTTGCTGTCGAGTTGATTCCGACTCATGGTGGCAAAGTGATTAAGAGCTCCACTGCTAACCAAAAGGTTGGCAGTTCAAATCCACCAGCCACTCCTTGGAAATCCTATGGGACGGTTCTATTCTGATCTATAGGGTCACTATACTATAGCTATCCTAGTGGGATTGAAATGCTATCGCATTTTTTGATTTGCATCTCTCTGATGGCTAATGATGCTGAGCATCTTTTCTTGTGTTTGGTGGCCATTTGAATGTCCTCTTTGGTGAAATGTCTTTTCAAGTCCTTTGCCCATTTTTTAAATTGGGTTGTCTTTTTGTTGTCAAAGTTATATATATATATATTTTGGTTATTAGATTCTCATTGGATGTATGGTTTCCAAAGATATTCTCCTAGTTGGTAGCTTGACTTTTCACTTTTTTGGTAAAGCCTTTTGATGAACAAACATTTTTTAAATTTTTATGAGGTCCCGTTTATTTACTTTGTCTTTTTCTGTTTGTGCTTTTGTGAATGTATTAGATAATCCATTATTGAAAGCTAGGCCTGACAGTGTTGCCTCTGCTTGTTCTTCTAAGAATTTTATGGTTTTTAGTTTGCATATTTAAGTCCTTAATCCGTTGTGAATTTGTTTTTGTATATGGTGTGAGGCATGGATCCTGTTTCATTTTTCTGCATGTGGAAATCCAATTTTCCCAGTCCATTTATTGAAGATACTCTTTTTTTCCCCCATCGAATGAACTTTGCACCTCTGTCAGTGATCATTTCACCATGGATGTATGGGTTTATTTCTGGACTCTCAGTTCTATTCCATTGGTCTGTGTGTCTACTATTATACCAGTACCAGGCTGTTTTGATTACTGTGGCTGTATAAGATGTTTTAAAATATGAAATGTGAGTCCTCCTATTTTGTTCTTCTCTTTTAACATTACGTTAGCTATGCAGGGGCCTCTTGCCACTCCATATAAAGTTGAGGGTTAGTTTTTCTATTTCTGTGAAGAAGGCTGTTAGGATTTTGATCAGGATTCTGTTGAATCTACAGATTGTTTGGGATAGTGTTGACAACCTAACAATGTTAAGTTTTCCAATCCATGAACATGAAACATCTCTCCATTTATTTAAGTCCTCTTTAATTTCTTTCAGTAGTATTTTATAGTTTTCATGGTATAAGTCCTTTACGTCCCTGATTAGATTTATTCCTAGGTATTTTATTCTCTTAGATGATATTGTAAATGGAATTGTTTCCCTAATTTCCCTTTCAGATTTCTCATTGCTGGTGTATACAAACCTGACTGATTTTTGTTTGTTGACCTTGTACCCTGCAAAGTTGCTAAATTCCTCTACCAGCTCTAGAAATCTTCTGTTTACACATCATCCACTAATAAAGATAATTTTACTACTTCTTTTCTAATCTGAA